ACGGCATACGCGACGGCGTATCGTGCTAGGTAGTCCTCAAGTGAACGACCGCCATTGAGCCCCCAACAATCCCGTGGCCAAGTGAAACGTTTGCTAAAGTCAAAGGAGGGTTTGCCTCATTTTACGACCTTTCCTTGCCACGCCGTGATTAAGTGAATCGTGGCAGGGGTTCAGTTATGTAACGTGGTTGTTGAAAGGTAATAAACCGCGGTTCGTCAGCGCGTCGGCCGGTCGTTAAGTGAAACCGGCTTCCACCCCCCCACCCCCGTTGGCTTTGCAAGGCCGAACCGTCATAAACACGAGGTCAGATGCCGAGTGTCTGGATTTGGGTCGCGTGGCTCCAGGGGAAAATCCTGCAATGGTCGTAAGTGTGAAACACAGTCCTAAGTTGCCGTTTTTCAGAGCCGTTAAAATTGGAACGGTCACTAAATGGTGTAGCTCGAGGACCGAGGCCGAAAGGGAGCTGGGGTTTGTGAAGAATTTGCACCATTGCTTTTTTTTGCGGTGTTGTGTTATCTTGGCGAAAGGATTCCAGGAAACCACAGCTAGAAGTTGCCTTAGAAGCCCGGAGGGGGGAGGGGACCCTCGACTTATGACCATTCGCTTAGTGACGGTTCGAAGTGACAACAGCACCAGAAACAAGCGACTTTGGACCAGTCCTCGCAGTTACAACGGTCACAGGGTCGTGGGCTCAAAATTCAATTGCTCAGCAGCTGTCTCGTGTTTATGACGGCTACAGTGTCCTGGGAGCCCAGCCGGTTTCCGAAAAGTCAAAGGAGGCAGCTGGATTCGGTTTAACGCCCACTTAACGACCGCTTAGCAATTCGCTAAGCAACCGCAGCGCTCGGCTTCGCAGCTGTGACCAGGAATTAATATATTATTAAAAGGTTAATAATAATATAATATACTGTAATCGATTGAATTAGATTGAGTAAGAAAATGAATATAAGTTAACTAAAGATGAAATATAGTTTTGAAAGACAATAACTGTAACGTTAACAATAATACAACAATTGATAAATGTGATATAAAATATTGATTGGAATGGTTATAAATATAAACAAGTAAGAAATGTATGATTATGAGCACAAGAGATACGTACCCAACCGACACACCAACGGTGTGGTTTTATTTGTTTGTCTTTGTTATAACATAAAAAAAACTTTTCAAAAATAAATAAATAAAAAGAGGAGAGGAGAGGGGAGGAGCGGGGAGGAGCTGGCGTCGCGACGGTACGGTCTGCAATCGAGCTCCGAGATTGCAGCCGATATCTCAGCCCCTGGTCGGTCCAAACGGACCTAAACCGTCCCGTAGAGAGGGTGATAGTGAAGGGCGCATCCTGTGGATCCCAGGGACATCGCAAAGTCCCTGGTTGATCGAGGAGAAGCCCTTTTGCCAGCGGCTGAGAGGCAGCCATTAAGCTACTGAAGTTGGGACAGCTCCGGAACGGAAGAGACTAAAAGATAAATAAATTGAGGACGGCCTGGACCAAGCCTGCTTCTCTCTGCCGTTCGCGAGATTTCAACGGACTCCCCTTTTTACTCTCTTTTATTTTCCCTTTCTCTCCAAACTTCCAGAAGAGCAGTTTATGCTGAAACAGATTGCGGATAGCGCCATCGATATCTATGCCATGGTGGTCGTTCTTTCCAGGTGAGCCTTGGATGCCCCTCCCCAAGATCCTCTGCCTGGGCAAATGTCCTTTTGTATTTGCTGGCAAGGAACAGCCGCCCCTACAGAACAGTGGCGGCTAACCTTTTTGGGCTCCTGTGCCGAAAATTGCGTGCACGCTCGCTAGCGTGCCAGCACCCAGAAGGCAATGTGCACGCACGCACGGCCCCCCCCCCCCCAATTTACCTGCATGGCTACCAGCTGATTTTCGGGCCTTTTTCAGCCTGCCAGAGGCTCGAGGGAAGCGTCTGCAGCCTTTGCAGGCCGAAAAACGGGCCTGTTTCGTC